AAGGAGTCACACAATAAGACGAAACGACCTTTTAGTGCTTTCAGGTTTTCCATGATGGTCTGATTTCAATTGACTCATGATCTCAACCATTAAAAATTACTATCATATTCACAAAACCCCCTTTGATGCTAATTAATACGTTGTTAAAAATTTCTTGCTGAAAACTGAGGTTTGAAATAGTTTACTCCTATGTTAATCATTTATTCACATTATTCAAGATTGTAACATATAAGTGCAATAGTCTAGTTAATTGTGATTTCCATCTTATTAAATTATGGGAATTCTACTTTATTGATTGTAAATATTGAAGAACCTATTAATAGAATGAGAATTTCTTGTCCATAATCTAGTCAAGCATAAGCGAACAATGTATCGATTCATATATGTCCTGTTTTCAGTCTAGACAATTGGTTGAATTTTATACAAGGGATGAAAAATGTTTATCACCTTTGCTTAGACTGAGAAGACAAGCTAGAATCTCTTTCCGAAAGTGATGATTGGTTAGTTGGTTTTGTACTTTTAGTCGAATTGCCTTAAATTATTTTAACAGTCAAGCAGTGCTAAGGCGATCGCAAGAATTTTTTTGGAAAGGCTAAAGTCTCTTCAGGAACGATAATCACTTCCACACGTTCTACCAATTCGATTTTCTGCATTACCTTTACCCTTTGATTGATTGTCATGTTTTTTTAGTTCGCTAAATTACCACATACCCGAAGGTCATATTCTGCTACCATAGTAACAACTTTTGTACCGATTTCGTTTGAGTTGCATGTTCTACCACATATCTGAAGCTACTTGAAATTCCGTCTTCTTCCTATCTTAACCGTTGAGGTTTGATGTGTTGAGTATAATTGACTGTTGTCAGTTCCGAAGAGAACCGATCGTATTAGAGAAGCTCATTCGTTTCCGATCCTAAATCCGTAATATCATAGGCCGTGCTGAACCTTAATAACAAGACACAACAAGTAGATTTGCATCTCACCATAGATATGGATACACAAATAATATTAGTATCTTGCCCATATGCAAATCCATATTTTTATATACCAACATTAATAGTAAATACCGGTCAATTTCGTTGGGTGGATGTTTAAAATATGTAGTACAATAATCCTCTTATTCATAGGATTTTATGGGTCATTACGTGTTTCTTACTTACAAAAAGGTAAGTGATCATTCAAACAAATTAACTGATAGATCAAGTATTCACTTAGCATTGTTACAATTATCATTAGTACGTTAAAAATGAATGACTAAATTCGGAATATTCAGGATACTGATTAAATTAAGTAGGTCCTAAACTGATTAGCAAGGATAAATGAAATACAGTTTTTCCTGAGATAGTCTGTCAGATGATATTTCTTAGCATCGAAATAATGGCTTGAAGTTAGCCGTAAATTTATTGGGGCATTTACCAATCATCCAGTAGAAGTGAAATCTGTCTAGCCCTTAGTAGGCAGAACAAGTCTTATCGATTGATTTGTAATGTTGTTAATAGTCTAAGTGACCTGAACGTCGCTCTCTTGAAAATTAGTGTCAACTGGCACAAAATACAGGTGCAAGGCTTACGGCAAGTTGGCTCCAGTCACCTAAAATCATTGAGGTGACATTAACACAAGCAAGGACAAAGTTAATGGCGAGATTTTAATATACAAAAATATTGCCCTGTGATTGATAGCGGTTTATATATAAAAGAGTAAAACCTTTTCATCATAATTATAATTGATCTTTTTACTCAAGATAAGGGTCAGGAGATCTATTACAAGACGATCTGATCGATTGTGTCAATAACATGACGCAGTCACACAAATTAGATACATGTTGATTGACCTTTACAGAACACTAGCTTTACAACAGCTTTTAAAGTATCTAAACACATTGGTATTTTTACCTACTCTCATCCGTGCTAGTGTGTTACCAATGAATGACTTCTCAAAGCCAGAATAAATTTCCAAAATATACATTCTGTCTTGATACAAGCGATCCAAGTTTTATATTTTCTTTCAAACTTTTCTATACGTTTTACTGTCTTATCATTACCTTCCTTTTAGTGACTATTTTATTTGTTTAGATTACCTTTAATTTTCGCTTTTGCAAATTTTTTATCTACAGCTATCGACTAACTGATATTGTAGCGAACGAGAACACCAGTGGTGACAGAATGTCTTAGTAAAATCTGAGGACCATACAGTAAATACTTCATTTGCAAAATATCAATCAGTAGCCTCATACTTGATTGACCTTCGTTTCCACATCAATCGTTCTCTGTTCTGGTTTTCTTCTCTTCGACCTTCATAACTTTCTGCCACCAGGCATTTCGCTTTCGTCTGATGACACATACTACCTATATCTGTCGACATCAGTAGCACACACCATAATATAACCAATTCTATAAGACCATATTTGTACGTTAGTTATACCATTAAAATAATAAAACTTATCGCTTACTGTATTTTCGTATTTAACTAAATCATTGTGACATCTTATGAACATAGCTAATTTGATTATTTGAGGAAAATGTAGTATCACCGTAAAACTTCGTTCCTTTTTGTTTCGGTTTGGTTCGAATCAAATTGTTCCGAGATGCTTTTAATTATTAACCTCAAAAATTGATTGCATACCCTTATTAATCTCAGCCAAAGCTAACATTAAAATAAATCTTTTACATCCTCCTGTTTTTTTCTGTGCGACGTAAAATAGATTGTAATTTATTTTTATAAGATGTTTCCCAGCAAATTTGAAAATGCAACTAGAATGGTTTTTAAATTTTGCTGTAAAAATTGTTACGATTAAGTCCAGCAAATATCTATCAACAAAATTATATTTTCCTGTTATTTTACTAATTACAGTATTGTACTGTTATAACTGCACTGATTACATGACAGTAAATGCCAGTACAACCAAAATATGTTACTTTGGCGCTTGTATGGTGAATACTAATAAGTCTTCTTTTATACAATCTTCTCTATTCTTCTGTATAATTGATGTACAGTCACTGGTATTTATAGTAAAAATAAATTAGAATAAACTGACAATATCATTAGTCGATCTTCATCACGGAATGTTACCAGCCAGAAAATCGGTGAAAGACAATGGTTACGAATTAGCTGGTCCGTTCTTACGAATAAACACTCATACAAACTCAACTGTTGTTTGGTTATGATGTGAACTAACTCAAAGTTGAGCAATCTCTACAAACTACCAAAATTAATAGCCCTTGTTGCTAAATCGTCACAATTTCCTTTCTACGTGCTCATTCTGTTTATGATGCTCATTAATTGTGATGAATTCGCTCTTCTCAGTAATTATAATCTCTACTTACAGCTACAATACGCTCTATTACTAATAGACAAATGAAAACTCTTTCGGTCTGTAGACTATTTAATTATAGCAATCCCAAATAACAGTCGAGAATAGCCAGACTATCTAAATGTTTTCTGAATAATTATAATGATATTTGTAATGCCTAGGTCCATGATTTCAGACATAAGTTCAGGGACCCATAACTGTTTGTTAAAAAGAAAAAGATGGTTAAATATTTTGTTATCACTGTACGTCGAAACAGAAATACGAAAACGCCATGGATTTTGACATTTTGTACTTGGTCTAAGAAGCTCAAGAAGAATAAATCTTTCAAAAATTATGGCGTTATTAGATAATGACAATGTAAACTGGATTTAAAATATTTCTTTTAATATTTCGGAGTAGCTCATTCATATTGAAATGAATATCTGTAATCAGCATTTCAACTGCTTATTTTATTATTGTGATGAGGCATAAACATTTTCTGTGTATGCTGCATACATAATTGTACCATCCAACTGACGTTCGACAATCGTAACAAAAGTGTATTTGGACTAAAATAAGCCATGAAAGAAGAAAGCCTATGTAACTTTCCATTTTACGGTTGAATATCAAGAGATGGGTTTCGGATAACGTATTCCTGAAGACTTACTACTAAACCACTAAAAACCATCTTGTAATCCCTTCATTATTTCAGTCAGTCAGTCAGCCATCAACAATGTAGTACCTAAGACAAATTTAATATCTTCCAAAGTTTCCATACCAAATCATCATAACGAAATGAAGTTAATTAGCTGAGCATCAAATGGAGTCTAAATAATTAACGTACCAATAATAGTGTAAAAGACAAAACATTGAGAAAATGGTTTGAAAACAATAGATGTTTATTTCATCTTAGTTTAACACTCTCAAAGTCGGAATCTTGAATACGAAAGTCAAAACAGTTCTATTGTACGGAGCTGAAACTTGGAGAACTACTACAACCACCATCAAGAAGGTACAAGTATTTATCAATAGCTGTCTACGCAAGATACTCAACATCCATTGGCCGGATACCATCAGCAACAGCCTTTTGTGGGAGAGAACAAACCAGCTTTCAGCGGAAGAGGAAATTAGGAAAAGACGATGGAAGTGGATAAGACATACATTATGCAAATCATTAAAGTGCATCACGAGGCCTGTATTAACTTAGAATCCTGAAGAGAAACGGAAAAGAGGAAAGCCAATAACACATTACGTTGGGAAATAAAAGCAGATATGAAAAGGATGAATAACAACTGGAAAGAATTACCCAAGACAGGGTTGAATGGAGAGTGCGAGTGGGCGGCCTATGCCCCTTCATGAGGAGTAAAAGGCGTAACTAACTAGTTTAACACTCGTTAATAGAACATACCTCTAAAACCCCAAAAATAATCAAACATAGAGATTACTACAAAATATCATTATACTTGTTATGATTTTTTTCGTGCCAAAAATCCCCGTCGCCAATTTGTTATGATTTGATGTCCGGCTTACGATCACGTGACTTATACACCAATCAGAATACGTCTTATACGAATATTCGCACTATGACAAGGCCAATGACGTTCAACCGGTCTGAGCAGTCTAGCGTCCTATTGGGTCCTACGTCCTTCTAACCTGTCCTCTTGAGTCCAGAACACAAAAGCAGCTTCCGAATCAACCAAATCGAACCAAATCAAATCGGACCAATCATTTATTTCAGACATACTCGGTTTATATATCAATCAGGCAGACCACAACGTACCATAAAATAGAAAATAACATGTGTACACAAATAGGCCAAAAAGTGGCTGTGAATGTGGGAGACAGTAATTAATAAACTGAGCATAATTTAGGGATAGTAAATCGTACAATGATAAATTATAGGTCAAAGTGAAGCTTATGATAAGGGGAATATAAATATACATAACCTAACTAATGAATAGTTATACCGTAAAAATATATAGATAATATTAGTCAATTAATGTCTCAGAAATTACTCGTGATTTAATCTTTGCTCGGATATAACACCTCCCCCTTTTTGTTTTTGAAGATCCAGAATTTGGATTCTGATTTTTTTTTAAAAAAATGTGTAACTTTAAATTCCTCAACATTCTCCTCCTCCACGAAATAATGTCGGATCCTCATATCTCCAACTTAAAATTAATATGACTTTATTTAAACCATGTTTCTTGCATTGAATGTAGAATCCACTAGAAATGATTAGAGGGTTATTTGATTCAAAGTAATTAGGATTTGGTTCTTCTGCAACACTTTCTTCAAATTCATTTTGAATCTCATTAGTGGATACCAGGTTGCTAGGAAAATCAACATCTAAAACAATTTGATTGGATTTTCGATCACATTTTGGTTCAGCCGATATAGCTTTCTCACTGTTATAAGGAATTTCACCAAAATTATGTGCATTATGATGAGAAATCATACCTGGTACATTTTCATGAGAAATCGGATAACTTGGTTCAATATAAATTTCTATCTCCCAATGATTTTGAGTATCACTAGGTACATCTGGGTTCATCGTATTGCTCCAACTATTTTCTGGATATGATTCCACACAGCTTTCTCGATTAATATCACCTGAACCATAATTTTGTTCTAGCTGGAGTTTATTTTCAGAGTTAGCCAGGGCCAGTAGTGCTTCATTCAATTCTGGACTCTGGACTTCATCTACGGGATCTGTTTCTTGACCATCTGGTATTGTCACAATTTCATGTGCATTTAGCATGATATTGTCTTGCTGTGAACCGGACAACTTATCAATATTACGTTTTGCTTCAGGTATAAAGGGATTTGAACCCTCCATGCTGCATGCTTCTGAACTGGCCATAATTTCTAGTTGAGTGAAAAGTCTGCCAATAATTGTTTCAAATATTTGCTGTTGAAAGGCTAACATCTGCTGCTGAAATTGTTGCTGCTGTTGCTGAAATTGTTGCTGCTGCTGCTGTAATAATAACTGCAACTGTTCAAAAGAAATCGCCATATTTTTTTTTACTGCTAATAATAATAATTCCAAAAAATATCACCGGCAATTATTACAGATTATTTCTTTTCAAGATCTGAGTCACCAATTGTTGTATTATTTTTTTTTGTGCCAAAATCCCAGTCGCCAATTTGTTATGATTTTTTTCGTGCCAAAAATCCCCGTCGCCAATTTGTTATGATTTTTTTCGTGCCAAAAATCCCCGTCGCCAATTTGTTATGATTTGATGTCCGGCTTACGATCACGTGACTTATACACCAATCAGAATACGTCTTATACGAATATTCGCACTATGACAAGGCCAATGACGTTCAACCGGTCTGAGCAGTCTAGCGTCCTATTGGGTCCTACGTCCTTCTAACCTGTCCTCTTGAGTCCAGAACACAAAAGCAGCTTCCGAATCAACCAAATCGAACCAAATCAAATCGGACCAATCATTTATTTCAGACATACTCGGTTTATATATCAATCAGGCAGACCACAACGTACCATAAAATAGAAAATAACATGTGTACACAAATAGGCCAAAAAGTGGCTGTGAATGTGGGAGACAGTAATTAATAAACTGAGCATAATTTAGGGATAGTAAATCGTACAATGATAAATTATAGGTCAAAGTGAAGCTTATGATAAGGGGAATATAAATATACATAACCTAACTAATGAATAGTTATACCGTAAAAATATATAGATAATATTAGTCAATTAATGTCTCAGAAATTACTCGTGATTTAATCTTTGCTCGGATATAACAATACTACTTACTCATATTTTCTGACTTCAGCCAATTTCTAATGAGACTGAATAATCATTCATTGTTATCTTTCTATAATTAACTTTATCTCTGATATGGTTGATTCAACAATCTATGGTAACTAATGCTAAAAGCTGATTGTAATCATTACCATTAAAACCTATTGAGACATTTATCTAACAACAAAAAAAATAATCCAATTCATATTTTATAAAAAAAAATATACTTAGATGAACTTTGTTTAATTTGAAGATTTAAATACAGAACTTTTTTTCTTGTCAATCAATAGTGTACCATAACGTATGTTATTGAAGTAAGCAGAAATAAAAAGATTTGATCTTTCTTTTTATACTACTAACAAACTAACCTTATTACTTACGTTTATGGAAAAAAAATTCTTTCTTTATATATGTTTTTATCTTAGTAGTAGTAGAATGTAACATTTAGGCTAATATTTAAATTATTAATAAACACTTTCAGAATGTAAACATAGAATGATTTCAGCATAAACGTTCATTCATTTTAAAAGGTTAAAATTAGAACAAACTAGGCAATCATTGCCTGTTTAGAATACGGGACAAAACTGGATCATTCGAAATTGTTATATTTGCCAAACATATCAAGTTGAATCTATCAAAGGTGAATACGAAGGTGGAAGAACTAATAGTACTGTCAATGATATTAAGAAAGATGAAGTGTAGAGAATATAATTTGTTGAGAAAGAATAAATTCGAAGAATAAAAAAGCTAAAATCAATAAGTACATGGATCTCTTACTTTACAGCCTATTCTGAATCATATCATTCAATGTCTCCAGTAACTGATCACGATAACCTTACTTACACCGACCAGAAACTTTTATGATATTATTCTAAAGTTTTATAAGTTATAAACAAAGTATAATTCAAATTATAATTCATGTGAATTATTTTCTGAAAATTATAGACACAAGTTTTCGATTACACAATTGTCAGAGGACGTGTTACATCTTGTATCAATGATACTGTACAAGGACGTTCCTATTGTACTGCAGATTTTTGTAACAATCAAGCAATTACTGTAAACGTGGATAAACTGGGACAACCTAACATTGAAAATAATCTTAGTTCCAGTGTTCCAGCTTCTTCAACCCACGAATCCGTAAAACCTGTTACACCAGTCATCTTATCCACACACATACTACTTATATCTGTCGATATCAGTAGCACACACACCTCTAAGATGGTACTAGATAGAAACAATTTTTATATATTTAAATGTATTATTTGTATATTCTCAATGTTATATACATATATATATGCTTAAAACATGTTCAACTTTTTATATATTTGGTGCATGTGGAAGAGATCACTTAAATATAAAAAGTTATTGTAAATGGATGGAATAAATTTACTCGAGTCAATCTGAATGACAGCCATTTTCTGTAAGTTTTTTCAATGAACCAATAATTTACATGAATCAAAAGAATGAATTGCATAAAAAATAATGCTAATTCATCAAACTATTGAAGGATTTTAAACTCTATTTGTTGTTTGAGATATGTCCTAATTTGCAAAGAAATAAGATGTTTGTCTTCTAGGATGAAAACATTGTGCTTGCCTACTGGTAATTCTATTAGGTATGTCACTGTGTTATCTCGTCTTATTTTCATAGTCTTAATATATATATATATATATATATCATCAATCCTCGTATACAATTATCGACTTAAATCGAGTCGATAGGTCAAATACGAGAATGAATTTCGAATACGTACATTTCATACAATCGTTGATCCAGACAAACAAGCGAAGAAACGAAATGAAGTGGAAAAGCCATCTGAGTCAACTCAATTTAATCAAGTGTTAATCAATATTTATGGTCAGAACAAAAATAAGCTAAAGACATGTGATGAATAGGATAAAAAGTGTACATAATGGTGGTTAGAGTTAGTTAACAGAAAACCTTGAACCCGGGTTTCGTGCTATTTGGCACTCGTCAACCCACCTTCAGAGTCAGAGACGTTACCACTGAGTCGAATCCGTCAGGGAGCACCAGTTCCCTCAATATTACAGGTACACCTTACTGATGAGTGCCAAACAGCACGAAACCCGTGTCCAGGGTTTCCTGTTGACTACCTCTAACCACCATTCTATTTCAATATAGTGCACGCAATGTCAAGTCACCTAGACTAGTGGCCACACTGCAACTTGGTCGATAGCATTTGATCTGCACTTAGAAGGACTTGACACACATGACATTGATCACCACCCAGTGATTAATCAATTGTGAATAAGAAGTGTACACACACATATATGTAAAAACAGTCAAGGTCGGTAATCGAATAATTAACAAGGTCAAAACGTGACTCAAGCAGAATGGATAAATTGGCCTGTCCAGAAGCTAGATTAAGTTATATGGGTTTAACATAGTAACCGACGCTACAATGTCTTCTATGTTTAATAGAATATTTAAACAAACTTGACCCCCGTAACTAGACAAAATTTTATAATCCTGAATAATTTTTTTCTCAATCGTTCGTTATTTATTTGACAACCAGCAAGTAGTGTGCAATGTCATGTGGACTAGTACATGGTGATGGCGGGAATTTATGCGGTCTTGGTACTTTAAGCTAACGAATTCTCAATGAAACTAAGTGCGTATCCAACATATGCCTACTAATCAACAAATATATTCAATTTATAAGTCAATATTAAATATTGAGCTGTTCAAGATTTTGACTTATGAAAAATCCAATAAAAAATACTTTCGAAGATAATCTGAAACCAATATCTTCGAAGACTGCTTCTTCATATCATTATTTCCTTTTTTAAGAAATCTTAATATGCCCACATCATGCTAATTTCTCAAAACATCTAGTGCTTATTGCAACAATCATTATAAGATTAATTTTATTAGTTTTCAAAGCTACTATTTAACTTCATAATTTGGACGTTTCTTATATTCAATTTATCGGGAAGACATGGATATTCGAACGTAAAATAATGATTAGATGACCTAAAAATTGAAAATTCGATAACTACTAAAATTATCCAGTGTATTGTATTCATTCTTCATTTAGATGTAATTTTTTTAGTTTACACACGGCGCACTGAATTCTCCTTATCGCTAATTGTTCACTGCTTCCTAATCTCTAGTGCTTGTTTAGTTAAGGTTTGTGTATTGGAACACATGTACAAATCACAGTTTGAGTGACTCATTTCATACTACAACGACTTAACAACACATTGAATAATAAAACCTCAGCCAATCGTTTAGTTTCCAAGTTATGTGTCTGATACTTAGGTTCAACACAATATAATTGATGTGCAATGATTATTTAATACAGATTAATTGGTAGATCTGTAGGTGGATAAATTCAGTGCTGTGGGTCGAAATGTATCAGTGATATAGAGTTAGTCATATGGTACAATGACAACTCATTAATTAACGTGGTACATATTCTTTATATTTACATATGATATTATCAATTATTTTTATAAAGTAAAAACAAAAGATATCCATCATCCTATGATGAGTCTGATTTGTGTGCCACCTCCCCCCTCACCTACTTAATTTGCATTGATCATTTTACACATGAAATGCATTTGCATATGGTTGCATTCATGAATATATTTATCATAGATCGACTTGTGCTTATGGTCGACATGTCAATTTTTTATTTGTATGAATGATACAAAGAAATAATTTGTATGTGAATGAGAAAAAAATTGTCCATTAACAAGGTTTCTAAAAAATATTTATGAATTCCCTACATGAAGTTTCACTTTCTACAGATGTATTATATAAATGTATATATTCCAATTGTCCTGTATTCGATTATGTTAATAAAAGAAAATATAGACCGTTAGTCCGCCTACATGAATCTTAGTATAGATCGATGATTTTATTTTGACTCTCATTTTAAGTGGGCCGATGTTCATCTATCTTCAATGACTCATTCACGCAACACAATTTGTTGTATTATTCCTCAAGGGGTTCTATTTGTAAGTAGTATTTGTCACTGATTAATTTCAATTGAACTAACACTAGCAATTAGGGAGCGCTGGCCAACCGTTTGGTTTAATTTATGAATTAATTTATGCAGATTGGAATAGTTACAATTTTTCCAACGCTTTATCGTAGTTTATCAGTGTCGTTTCTTAAAGGAAACTAAATCCTACAAATTCTCCACGACATTTTCATAAATGATGATTGCAAACTTTAAGCAGTGACTTATGTCAAAAATGATTTATCAAAATTCCAATGGAGAGCAGTAATCTAAATAAAGTCAACTAAATTTTACTAGAGATGATTGACAAATGATGATGTTATATCATTAAAATGTAAAAAAGCTGGATTCTGACTATCTCTGAATGATATGGTACTTGTTACAGGTCATGACTACACATCACCATGTAGTTTAAAAATATGAAGAAACAAACGTTTGTTTCTACATGACTCGGAGATTTTTAAATTTTTGTCACAGCTCCTAGTAAGAGAATAGTTTTCGCGATAATTACAAAGCCTGACGGTAACATCATCGATGAACATGGAGGATCTGATGAAGATATAAATGCACGGATCGACAAAGGAAGGGCTGCATTCCTATAATCTAATTCCTAATTTGTCTGGTCAAATGGTCTTAGCTCAAAAGTAATTTGTATAGTTACAGAATGAAAAAATTACACTTAAAATTAAATC